ACGGATCACCATCCCAAAGATTCTGTTCAGTACGGGAAGCAAGTCACGGGAGTAAGAACCAGTGAAGTGGGAGCCAAGTTAGAGTTTGCAAATGGTGGAACCACTTCGGACTTTGACTTGTTGGTCGCGGCAGATGGCATCTACTCTGGCATCAGGCGACAGTATTGGCCTGACCACCGGGTTCAGTTCAAGGGCGCCGTGGCATATCGCAACGTCTTTCATAAATCAAGAGTTGCGCATATCAAGGAGCTTCACGACGACTCTTCGTCCTGGAGACGTGACGGCGAGGTTGTCTTTCTATCTGAACTTGGTCTCGATCAGTACGGAGTGGTCATCATAAAAACAGAAGAGCCAGAGTACGCTGCTACCCTGAGATGGGAGCGCTCGATTAGCCAGGAGGGACTGGACCGGCTCCGAGACCACTACAAAGACTGGGACCCGGTAATTTCCAAAGTTCTGGATACTGTGGAGGACATCCAGGCCTACCCGCTAGATTCAGGCCCTTGGCTACGAGAACTGACTAGGGACGACCGCGTGGTTTTCATCGGTGATGCCTCGCACCCAACGGCCGGTGCGTACGGAGCTGGCGCAGCCATGGGGTTTGGAGACGTGTGGGCCCTCTACCGATCCCTAGAGCTAACTCGAAGGAGGGGCCGGCGAGAAACAGCGGGATACGACCTTCACAATGCACTCCAGGTCTTTCAGCAAACACGTGCGCCGTTCCTGTTGCGTGTGGAGCAGCAGATGGCACTAGACCGAGACACTGCCAAGTATCTGGCTGAAGCAGCTGGAGATGAGGAGGAGTGGAAGCGTCGGTTCAAGGAGAGTGGAGCAAGTATTCGGTGGCTACAAGAGCACGATGTCGAGCTGGAGGTTTTGAAGGCTGTTTCAACAGTTGGTGTGTGGAAGAAATAAGAATGACGATGGCTGCCTTGTTATTTAATCTTCTATAGCTACATACACGTAGTAAATTTCCCCTTGGCAAGACAGCTTTCAGAAATACCAAAACAACAGACCTAGATGTGAGTAGAGACAGTACTGATTAGTTTGTGGCTGGATATCAAATCTTTTCCCCCTGCTATCGCCCATCGCCCTAGGATCAGATCTATTACCAAGGTGCTTGATGATGACCACTTAGTGTTCACTTCAACTACGCGGGTGATTTCTAATGAACCAAGAAGCCGGTATTCTTTTTTTAGTTAGCTCTTAAGCATAGGTATCTAGTCATTGCATAAGATATGAACCTACTCCTCAGTCAGCCTCAGTGGCGAGTTTACCATCCAGATCTGAAGCCCGCATAACACTCAGATGTTAAAGCCGTCTTGACAACTAGAACTAAAACCCGCCCTGGCATCTGCTCGGAATTATGACCTGGTTACGGATAAGGCGACTAGATATGGCCCGCTCGGCTTATAAAACAATCATGCCATGCGGTGTGCAGCTGACGTTCAAGACGCCGCCTTGGCATATCCTCCCCCCCGAAAGAAACACGGCTTGGTCGCACCCTGGCTGGAAACTACATGCCAGTTAAACCCGGCACCTTAATTGGCCACGATAAGAGAGAGCGCTGTTGTTGGCCTCCCAAAACGTAGACTGGGGCTCATGGTCGATGGCGTAGTTTTCGAGCATATATCGCAATTCCTCCCATGTGGAAAGTGGGTACTGGTGTATTGAGTCCTCAGAGCTCCGGTGTTGTTTTATCTTAGTTTATGGCCTGATTATTGAATTGATTCGCGACATGAGATACCGTTGATGGCAGCCTTCCCTGTCGGCATCTGGTTTCAAATATCCGATACGCTGCTCGTTTGAAGCTGAGTATAACCGCCCACAGCTGATCAATTCTCCGACTTCAAGCAACCGACTATCTGCGCTTCCTAAAATAAATAATTGCATTAAATTGGCGTTTGACAAAATGACGAATGTCAAGCCACAAACAACCATCAAGGTTGCCATTATAGGCGGCGGCCCAGCAGGTCTAGGAGCCGCCATTGCTCTATCACGGCTCCCCTTTGTTGATTGGAAGCTATATGAGAAAAAGCCAGAAATCAGCGAGATTGGCAACGGCCTCACCCTGCAACCAATCACATGGCGTGTGCTTGAGCATTTTGGAGCGTCCCATCATATCAAGAGCGACGACATCTTCAGGCCTATTGACGGCCATAACACCGAGCATCGGTAAGGCAAACCCCGACGCGTTTTGTTTCATATGTTAACTAACTTGTAATTAGTAATGGTCTGTCTGGAGTGTTGGAAGCCAAGGCTGCTCCAAAGGAAGGCGTGCCACCGCACCAAGAATCCTGTAGGGCTCACAGGTCGGTTTTACAGCAAGCATTGTTGAAGGAAGTCGACCAGAGCCGCATAAGAGTAGGGCAAAAATTAGAGAAGGTTGAGAAGCTAAGTTCGGGAAAATTACGCATCACGTTCGCTGGGGTATTCTCCGATGAGGTCGATCTCCTTGTGGGTGCCGATGGTATCCGTTCAGTAAGTGAAGGCGACATCCCCTACAAGAAGAGATGGATAACATGGGCTGACTATCTCTCAGGTTGTGCGCCAATTCTTCTTTCCAGAGCATCGTATCGCCTATACTGGCTCGACAGCATATAGAACGCTCGTCAGGACAGATGAAGCTGAGAAGATTAACGGCCTACCTAAGGCCGTCATTTTCTGGCATGGAACTAACAAGAAATGGGTGTACACTTGCCCTCTTGGCGGCAACGACTGGGAAGTCACCTGCGCCGTTGCTGAGCCCGGCGGTGAGAATCGCTCTAGCTGGGGGAAACAAGCCAGTGTGAAGCATTTCACCGATACCTTCTCGGAGATGTGTCAGCCGATTCAAGAGCTCTTCAAGCTGGTCACATATGTAGAGCAGTACGACTACTTCGCAGGTCCGAGACTGGATTCAGTGACCCGTGACGGAGTTGCAGTCCTCATTGGCGACGCTTCACACCCTCTATCGGGGGCGTTTGGGGCCGGTGCCGGTTTCGCGCTCGAAGATGCATATGTCCTCGGACAGGCATTGCAGTGGTCAAACGATACCCACAGAGAGCTTAAGCATGCTTTGCAACTCTTTGACCAAGTTCGATCTCCTCATTACAACGCCCTGTATAAAGTCCTGGACGAGTTTGGCGAGACGGAAAAGTATCTGGCACAGGCTGGACTGAACCAGGAGGAGGAGATCGCTGAGAGAATCAAGAGAAACTGGGGTCATAACGCGAATTGGATGCATTACTACGAAGTAGGTTGTAACACAATCCTCTCCATATTGTTATGATTGCTAATAGATGTTCTAGGTGGATAAAGCATTTAGACAAGTTCTGTCAAAGGTCGAGAGTCAAACTACAAAGTTGTAGATAGATGTATGATGAAATGTACTTTAGATCGAGGGCTCTCTCTCAATCACCTGGAACTTGCGGATTGACAGATGAGAGAGTTCGAGTATAAAGTCAAAAATAGCAATGAAAGATGCTAGGCTTGACATCTCAACACAATGAGTCACTTGTGGCTTGCCATTATACGTCAGACCGCTACCCACTTCTAGGACTGGACCGAGGCACGCAAAATTTAACCTATCAGGCTACATAATTAGCAACTGCGGAAACCTTCATGCTTGGATTCTCATCTGGCCTTCCATTTTGATCTGCTAGCTAGCTACTGCTCCTAGCAGCCCCTTCGTATGTATGCGGTCCGGCTGTCCAAGTGACCATGAGAATTGGCTGTGGGTTACGGAGGCATCTTCGCGTGTCTACGATCTAACTTTCCAGTTTAACCTGCTGGCTAGCTTGTGCTCGAGATAGCCTCTCCGTGTGCGCAATATGGCTGCCTATGTGAGACTGACCTTGGCAGAGTGTGTAAGTTCATTGCGGTATCGGACGTATCGCCACAAGTGGCAGTAAGGAGAGATGTAGTTGGTGTCAAGTGTAACTCTATGCGATTTTCGTTCGAGTTCTGAATTCCAAAGCCTGAGGTATATTGCCCTGCTAGCCCTTTTCGAGACTTCAATACCCCGGTGGTTCTCTTTCAGAATCCGGACATCCAGCTCTGCTGGACGTGAGTCTGGGCGTGTATTGTAGACAATTTGGCAACACACATACGATTTATATATATCGCAAAAGGATCCACCCGGGTTTTGAGCACAAACCGATACCGGTCCCTTATTTGTTTATTTTTATCCCTTCTTCGGTCCCTGAGTTTGGAGTAAAGACTAAAGTGATCGTCAGACTCTGACATGGACTTAAATTCCAGAAATTTTCCAGCGTTTTTCCAAGCTTTTCGCGTATTCCGAGATTAGAGCCACACTACACTGGCAGTCCGAAACCCTTTTTCTTATAGACGCTGGTAGCGCATGACATGAAGTCGCTTGAAACTGTAACCACCAGGCTGCCGCGACGACTTAATCATATGTTTTGAATTCAATGTACGGAAAAAAGCGGAAGAAAAAAGGGATAGATGAAAACTTCTCTCTTTTGCGATTTTCATCGCGGGGAGCTTCCATCTGGGGTTGGAAGTCCCGCCATCTTTTTCATTGGCAAATACAGAAAGACCCAATAAATCATGTCAATCACTTTATAAAGAGGATTCATGGGGGCTGCGACCTTACTTGGACATGGACGCTTGAAGTGGCTGAGCCTGGAGTACATGAGGCGGCCAAACCCGATTGAGGCGAATTTGAAGGTGTCCCAGACCGTTCTCGTGATAGTGAGAGTGTGTAAGTTTGGATGGCGATGAACTTTTCTCAGCCAACCAGAAGGCAAAAATGGCCTAATAACAAGCTCAAGGTTGAGACTCGCCCAATTACGACGACATTGCGTTTGAAGAAGCCTAAGAAATTCACAAGGTCAAAGTCTACGACAGCTTTTGTAAAAGCAGAAACAATGGCAAGCAAGTATAAAAGGTCCTCATTCCTCTTCCCTCTTCCAATGAACATCTCATCCAGCAAGCTCATCTAGGGAAACAAGAAGCGAGTGCAAAAGATTCGGAGGATTTGACCCCCTCCGACTCCAATGGCTTCTACAGACGACGACCCAGACGGACATGGTGGCGATGCCGCTGATGCTCCTGGACCGTTGACTCATTTTCATAAATTCACTCAATTACCACCCGAGCTCCGTTGCAGGATCTGGAAGATGGCTATCTTCACAGAAAAGACACCAAAGATTCATTACTACTCGCTATGTAATGATGACGAGGGATACCGGAAGAGCTCCCTGGCGGAGCTGATCGATATGTATAAGAATCCGGGACCGAAAGACGGGGTATTTAGGCCCTTCAACCCTCTTGCACTGCAATGCGAGCCGCAACAGTTTTCTTGGGCTGATGATAATCGTTTGCAAAGTTACTGGAATGCTGGCCTACGGACTGCGTGTTGGGAGTCTCGAACGATCCTCCTACGTTACTACGGTCCCAAGCCAAGAAGACAGAATCCCTTCGACTTCGTCAACAAGCGCCCGTACAAGAGGAGGAAGAAGAAGAAGAAGTCTTGCTCTACCACGAATCCCAGTAAGATCGTCACTATACGCGAAAAGGGGGAAATCATCCACCTCGACTTCTCCAAGCGCGATATTATATGTTTCCGATTCCCACCCGAAGAAATGGCTCGCTGCGTCTTTCTTAAGTGGGAGTCATTACTTATCCGGCTTCCGTTCTATCATCTTCCACAGAATTCAGACATCAACCTAGCTTTTGAATTCGATCACAGTTGGAACGAGGGCCTGGGAACAACGGAGTCTACTGTTCTCGAAAACCTACAAGAGGCTTCGGCGAGAGGTCTGGTCTTGAGAGCCTTCTGGGCATGGAAGGTGGGAGCCATTCCACGATGGACTCGATTGTACTTGATTGATCGAGCAGAGCCACTCCCACCCAGATATCAGGTTGGGAGAAACTACGACTTGCGGTACGTGCCCAGTTCGAAGTATCCCAGTGTGAAGTATCCCAAGGAATTTCCCTGCCAGCGTCGAGAAAGTCGTGTATTCATTGATGGGGAGAACAAGTATGTGGAAAGCTATTCGTGGGATCGCGATGGACAGAATTGCTGCAATCGCCATGTCCAATCTGTGGCTGTAGACACATTCATGCGGACGGTGGACCGGTATCATCGCCCATCCAAGGATGATCTGTACGGTCGTGAGGATCTTCCCTTCTATGGTGAGATCTTCTTCAGGGTGTTACGACCAGTACCTAGGACAGAAGACTAAGTCATGGACGCCAGTTAGATTTGTTTTAGTATTAGTATAGGAAGAAAAGGCACAGACAAATTAGTCGATGCCAACAAAAACAATTGAAAATTGGAGCTAAAGCTCTACTTGAGTCTTAATCGCATAGTTCTTTGCCAGATACCGCATATCTGACTAAGGTTTCAAGATATCAAACCCACCTTCAAACCTTGGTCACGATCTTTGTCAAAATAATAAGACTCGTCCATCTTATCGAGTCAGATCCTAACAGTTCAGAGCAATAATGGGTTGTGGGATGGTTGTTACAGGCTACACCTACAACGAGCTCCGCTAGGGTTACGTGGCCTCATGAGAGTGATCCTGGTCACTTGAGGGTTCCTAAGCCCCAGAACTACTCAAACATAAAGCACTATCAAAACAGCTGCCTCGCTGCTTCTCCTCAAGGGAAACCGTTCTTCCTTCTGGATATAGAGATAAACTTAATACATTGCCTCCCTGAGTGGACAGGCCCGGAGATCACTTCTTAACAATAGTTAATTGAGTCAAGATGGCACTGGGATCGTAGCTCTTGGAGTTTACTGGCGAGTATTAAGGCTGAGTATGACATTCGAAGAAATTCCTCTCTAGGCAACCGCTCATACGTGCTACACCTGCATGCTGTGGGTCAGGATGAAACGTTAATCAAATACGAAACATTTTAGAAGGCTTGACTGTTAGAGTGGCGATGTAGATAAGATAGGACCATGATATGCTCACAAGATAATGGTTCGGCGAGCCCTACACGTAAGTAAAGTTCAACGGCAATGGAGGCTTCTAGAACCCAACCGCTCAACACTCAACACAATGAAGATACCCTACACAGGAAGATGAGTGATGGAAGACAGTAGAGCCCGACATTCTGACCGATTCTCCAATAAAAACAAATAGTATTCCCCCCTTCTGACCCCCCTTTTTCGCTCTCTCCAGCTAGGAGACGTTTTTGGGGTCACATGACTGTCACACAGCTACTTGTCCTCATTGTGTTGAGGTCTGGCATCTTCATTACTGTACTTCACATTCTTTACTTGAACTCTCTCACCTGTATATGTAACATAGCCACATTGCAACACAGCCATAAGTATATTTAATTTGTTTGCCTTCACGGAGATAAGCCAAGACCTCGAGCCGCAGTCAAAGTTTCTAGGCGGCTTTTTTTTTCAGTCGCCTTCAGGTTGCTCCGACAAGTGCGAGCCGTGGTTGGGGACTTACATGAGGCGATGTCGCCCAACTCTATCATGTTATCGTGACCACCCACCAACTGCCACTTGCCACCACCAAATGGCCACTAGAATGAAAAAATGAACAATACTGCATGGTTTCGCCACGTTACAACAAGGTTTGCCCTGTATGATGGAGGCCTGGCCCTTTAGGTGGGCGACATGAAATGTGACACACGACCACTCTATTCCAATACAATATGCATGGTATGAGGGGGGAACAGCAGGTCTGACGAAGGTGATTGGTTGGATGAGAGTTGTATTTACATCGGTTGGCTGAAGGCTACAGAATAACTTGATTCGGAAGCACACCTTAGTATGCCTCATTCTATCTCACCAATTGCCTGCCCAACTGTTGAAGGCACGAGGCGTGTGAAGTTGGGCTCGCTCTGCCACGAAGCCAGTTGATAGGTCGCCTGCAATGCCGATCAGGCTTTACATCCAGTTGTACACGGGAAGGCTCAAGCCGAAGGATACCTTTGAGTACGTAACGAAGGATGCATATGTAGCTCGAGCCCCGTGTTTCAAGCAAAACCACTACAGTTCTAGAAGTGATCGCCCCTGAACCGCTGATCATATCGGGTCGAGCTAAGATGCACAAGTGGGAGCCCAACCAAGTTGCAAACTCCAAAGAGCACATCCCGGCACGTTCCACTTTTCCCGGGAGAACAACCGGATCCGCCTCTCTTCCCTGTTAGAACGACCCGGGCACTAGTTTAGCCTCGATCAAAGGGCACATGGTTGGATCACGTTGTTCGGTGTGTGTGGACATGGCAATGCAGCATTGGCATAACTGATAGCTGTCAAAAACAAGCCCTAAGGGCACAGCAAACGGAGGAGCTAAGAGCGTGTTCAACCGTCGTCCCAAGACCACCTCGCATTGACGCCAAGACCTGCTCAGGCTGGCGCTGCATAGCGTATCTGCCGTGCCGATCCCTCAGAGACAAATCCCAGCCCACCGAGAGTCCTCCGTGGTTGCGTCCTCCTCCAGATCCCTATCCTTGTAGTCGACGTCTGGCCAGCCCACCCCCCTCCCCTTGGTGGGATAGCAGAACAACCCCCTTGGGCAGCCTCGCGGGTTGCGGGGATTACATCTGGGCTGCTTGTTGGGCACGCATATCCCAGGCGCGTCGCACGCCATCCCACAGCTGTTCGGGTCTCTGGGGTCATCCTTGCACTTCTCGGTAGTCTCGTCACACGGGGGCGGCCCGGGATTGATGCGGAAGCCGCCGCAGGAGGGGTACACGTTCTTCCAGGTGCACCAGCCTGGGCAACGGTTCAAGTCGGTACATGTGTCCGAGTCGGGCTTACAGTACATGGCGTTGGGGCAGGGGGCGATTTTGAACCCGCAGGAGCGGCCAAGGAGCTGGCCGGCCACGAGCTGGGATGATGCCAGCACGAGGAGTGAGAGACAGGCAGTGATCTGCATTTTGGTGTTTTTCTTTTGGAGTGATTCGGGAGCGGGAAATACGGTGCGGGAAATATTTTGGCCCGACAGAGGGGGTAATTCTTCTTGACGCTTTCACAGTTAGAATGGCGGTCTTGAGTTTGCGAGGTGCTCGACTGGGTCAGTGTAACCCTCGTAGATGGCAAGAGGCTTGTTTTTAACCTTGTGTTTGAATTCAAGGGAGAGGAATTCAAGTCAAGTTTAATGAAGGTTAGCATTCTTGCCGGCCATAATCACCCCGCGGCTGAGCGAATAGCTTCATTGGTGTCTAAGACAACTTCAGCTGGCCTCGTCAAAGTTGTCATGTAGTCTAGCCGAGTCACCACAAACCCCAGAACATGACAAAGTCAGTCAAACACATCCTCCCTCGCCAAACCTTCGATCCCCTCCTCCCCTTGGACGTTCGCCCTAATCGTCGCAAAAACGGCTTCCATTCATGCATGCAATACCCACCTGGTCCATCTGCGAATCGCCTGATTGAAAGACATGAAACGGTATGCTTATGCTAGCCATCCTTGCCCTATGGCAAAATCGCCCACTCTTTCTTGTTTTCTCCATGTTCTCTGTTAGAGTTTCGGTCGGGAAAGGGGGCAGAGCGAGGGCTGCCACTTGGCATCTTCACCGGTGGATTTCTTGTTGCTGCAAATTCACTAATTGCCACATGCGATACCACCTAAAGATGCAGAGTGAGGAAACTCTGCCTTTGATCGTGTCTCGTGCATGGTTACATCCTACTAGAGCCTGGCTGGCGCGGAATGTTCAATAGGCTGGTGCTACACCCTCTTTTTTCTCGCCTTGTCTATTCGGCTGAGAGAGCACACAAGAGTAACTTCGGAGCGACTTGATAGCGGTACACTCTAAACGAGTTTTGGGTAGCTGTTGCATGATGTTGTGGATGGTGGTCATATTTCTCATGCCTCCGAGGAAAGATCAGCATGCATTCCTGCACTTCTTGTGAAGTTACACCTCGGACCATTCTGCATTTTTTAGCATTTTTTACCTTTTTTAACAGTCCCCTCACCGCCGATCTTTCTCGGGAATATCTGAATTGGTAACTTGACTTGGTAATGATCTGAGCATTGGGCATTGATGTCGAGATGGTGTAGCAGAGCGAAGCCGTTAACTCGACATCTTCCTCCGCTGGATATCTCGAACCAAGGTTTAGCTCCAAGCTAGCCGTAGCCGTAAATTATCCAGTAAATCACATATTTTCCTGAAGTGAGCTTCCAGTTTTGGCATCCGTTGTTGAAGACCTATTCCAAAATTGAACAGAAGGAAACTTTATGAGCGACGATGTTCAGATGAAGTCAGAGCCGACCGTAGGAAATCACTCAAACCACGAGGAAGAGGAGGGGAAGGCATATCCTGCAGCCCAACAACTTCCTCGCCACCCTCTTCTCGCCTGTCCCCGTGTCTAGCCATACAGAGACGTCCAGCTAATCGTTCCTCGGCGCATATTCCCTGTCCGAAACCACCGCGACAAGAAAACTGATACCTCAGATGGAGAAAACGACGAAGCTATCGTGCCGCTCGTCAGCATGATATCTTTTGGGCGGGCGGCCTTTTGAATCTAGCCGACCGCATAGCTACAGAGCCGGGTCCTCCTGGCAAGTGTAGGAATGTGGGGAGCCAACGCGCGGTTTACGGACGGGATGGGGGGGGGAGGTATGTGATGTGTTTTACGGCCATGTGATATATCTGAGAACGAACGAGATGGGTCGGTCTGCCTGCCTGCCACGGAGAGGGACGGTGGTAGCTGTCAGCCACATGGCACTGGGGGGGCTTGGGAAGAGTTCGGCACGGGGCGGCTATGCAGGGATCCCCCTGCGGTTTTGACGCACGTAAAAGTCAAAAAGACGGTTGGGCCGGTACGGTGAGCGTGAAGAGGGGAGCTGAAACATGCCAGCCAATGGGTGGGTTGCCCAGGCGGCCAATGGCTGCATGGGCTTATTGTGAGAGGCAGCCCGGTTGGCAATCTACCCGTTCTGACTGTTGACTAATAAGTGAGACAGCGGAAGAAGAGGAGAGACGGTTCATTCAGCGGTCTGGCGGTTACGAGATGGGGTGTGACTCAGCTGAGGCACAGGAGCTGACCACAAATCTCGCTCGCGAGCTCTCATAATAGCATTCTGCAAAAAGCCAATTGGACCCCTGTTTAATTCTTTTTAACTTGCTCAGTGTGTGGGGAACCCCATTCATTCCCATGGAGCCAAGGAGCTTGCACAATTTCACTTTTCTGTATTCAACTTGGTGGCGTTAGGCCTCTGCACAGCATTCCGAGTGACGGCACTGCGTGAGTTTAGTGCCTGAAGCCCGAG